AACACTGTTATGTCCATGCAGAGTCTCATCTAATCCTCCTGTCAATCTTCCGGGTTAGTACTATTACCATCCCCATTTTTCAGATAAAGGTATTACCTTTCAGGGAGGTGAGGTAATTCTCATAGCCTATTTTCGGTAGAACCAGATTTTATCCAGTGCTTTCTACACTGCTTCAAGCTGTTCCCCTTCCAGGTCTCTGAGTCAATGGCCCAGGGTCCCTTACTTTGCTGCTTTGGTCTCTAGAAAATAGTGACCAGGATGCATGCTATTTAGAAAGCAACTCACAAAGAGAAAGATGGTTCAATCCCAGCCCTTCTGACCCTATTACTGTATGGTTGTGGCCAGAAAAGCCCAGGCATCCCTGAGCACAGGAAGCAATGACTCCGGATGAAGTCATGGGTCATCTTTCTCTAGATGCCTAGAAGAGCCTGGCTAGAGGCACCAGGGATCATTTCAGGAGAATGTATATCTGGCACCTGCATCCCAGTTTTGGGATAGGTGGTCATCACATCCTTCTACCCCCATAACTGCTGGAGTTGTTCTCTGAGACTGAATATTGGATTAGGCACTTGAAGAGGTGACCCAGTTTTATAATTCTTAGGCACCTCTCTCCTTCTACTTTCTGGCCATAAAACCATGACTAAGCACTTTAAACAAGAAACCTATTGCTCAGGCACCATGTTCAGGAAAAGAAAACATCAAGAGCCCTGTATTTGTCACCTCGATCTAAAGCCACCACTTCATGAACCCTGTGGGGCCTGGCAGAGCTACAGGATGAACCCATTTGCTGGGGACAGTGCAGATGCCTCTGCCCTGCAGTCTGTTCTGTCAAAACTAGCTCTGAAGGTTTTGTAGAAAATGGTTCAACCAAGGCTCCTGTCAAATGATTTCTTGCAAAATAAGTTAAAGCAGGGCCAGCCCAAGTCTAGCGCACCATGGGCTTATTTTTAGCACTATGCAGGAAAGGCTGTAAGATATTCTCACACCACAACTAAGATGGAGTCACAGTGCCGAGCCCCAAATCTCCACTCTGCTGCTTGCTTGTGTGGCTCTGGATAAAATATGACCCCTTGTTCCTTAGTTGCCTCCTTGATAAAATGAGGATGATGACAGTGATTCTGAGTCATAAATATGACAATTCATGTACGGAGCTTAGAACAGTGCCTGGCCCATGGCAAGCACTCCCTGGATATGTGTCACCTTTATTGGGATTAATAGACTGCCATGCCATAGAAAGAATGGCTGATGGAACTGGAGAACATAAACTTTGTGGAGGGAGATAGAATGGGTAGAGAGGGGAAGGGACGTGGGTCCATGAGCACTACTCTCAAACTTCTCAGGTGGAATTGTGCCATGCCTACCAACCTTTGTTCTGTGTTGCCACAAAGAGCAGAACTAGGTCACCAAGGAAACACTGCCAAAGGCAGATTTGGGGTCAGAATAAAAGAGGATTTTTAAGAGCCAAAGATGTCCACAAAGTGGGAGCAGGATGCCTGAGTGGGGCTAGGGTTCTGCCTGCCTTGGGCAGCCACTGTGCAGATGGGATCCTCCTGTACCAGTGAGTAGCTAGAGGAAGTGACCGCTTATTCCCCTGCCCACTGGACCATTCTATCACTTTGAAAATGCTGATAGCCAGGGTGTGGCTGATCAGCCCGAATGAAGGAGGATGGACTTTGGATTAGTCTTAACATATACAATCTTTAGAACTTTTAATTAATGCTCTCAGAACCCCATCCAATGTTGGCAGTGGTGGCAGGAATGACCAGTAGTGGCTCAAAAAACCAGAAGTGTTTCTTGAACACCTGCTGAGTGCTGGACAATAATTCAGGAAAGGTGTAAAATGATAGGGCTGTGACAATAAGCTATCAACATTTTCTTACTTTGGACGATTTAAATACAGTGTTGGCCAGGTGCAGTGGCTCATGCCTGTAATCCCAGCACTTTGGGAGGCCAAGGTGGGCAGATCGCCTGAAGTCAGGAGTTCAAGACCAGCCTGGCCAACATGGTGAAACCTGTCTCTATTAAAAATCCAAAAATTAGCTGGGTGTGGTGGTGTGTGCCTATAATCCCAGCTACTCAGGAGGCTCAGACAGGAGAATCACTTGAACCAGGAGGTGGAGGTTGCAGTGAGCTGAGATCACTCCACTGCACTCTAGCCTAGGTGACAGAGTGAGATTCTCTCTCTCTCAAAAAACAGAACAACAACAACAACAACAAAAAACAACCAGTATGGATGACTAATGCCATTATTATCTGGGGGTACCCAATATGGAGTGATCAAGTCTGCCAACTCCATGGGCCGTGACCGTGACAGGAAGCCTGGGGTCATTCCAGTTCACGGGCAACTTCCCAGCCTCCTCTCAGGCAAAGGTTTTAGTGTTCTTCGGCACCTCCTTACCACCGACCCACCCACACAACCCCTTGACCTGGATCTTACCCAAGTCAGCAAGTCAGTCTCCTGGCCGAGTCACACACAGGAAAAGTCCCTGGAACACAGTGAAATGGCCAAAAGCAAGAAATAAGAGAAAGAGAGAGAGAGAGAGAGAGGAGAATCTGCTCCTTGAAAATTGGTTCAGAGGTGGGGCAGCCTCTGTCATGAAATAGTGTCACCTTTATTAACTATAGAAACAGTTTTAAAACTAGGAACTATTTCACCAACAAAAAACATTGCTAGTTTTTAATGAAATCATAATACAGATCCAAGAAAAAAATGAAATTTCCAAACTAAAGCTCATCAGTTATCTTCCAAGCATTTCCTGTGTACTTGTTAGTGCAAATTTATATATTCTCAACTCTGAAAACTTGAAAGCGGGTAAGTGGCTGTAAGGATCAAGAGATTAGGAAAAATAAATATGTGTAGGTGACCTTGGGGACATTCTTTTACACATTTAATTGTTGGCTATCTGGCAACACCTGGCACCATGTTTGAGAACCACTGTCCAGTCTGGCTAGAAACTCTCTGGGCAGGAAGATGAACCATCTCTTCTGGGAAAGAATGGATTCAATCAATAATCCAAGCGCTCCAGCTTTGGATCCCAGCTGCTGGATCTGCCCACAGCTCCAGTTCCTCCCTCCCCACCTCTGACCTTCTCTGTAGTAGGTGGTTCACATCCCAGCATGTCACCGTCTTTTACTCTCTGGTTGGTTGTCTATCTACAGGCAAATCCTAGTACTTCTTCCTCACCCATAATCACTCCCTGTCACTTGTTCCTCTCCATGCTGGCTGCTACAGCCTTGGTCTAGGTCCCCCGCCTGGCCTCTTCACATCCTCTAAAACCGCTGGCCTGTGGCATCCCAACAGCTGACTTCAGAGGCTTTACCAGTTCGCCCTCCCTAGCAAAGGTTTCCCTACGTCCCTCTGTCCCTCCCAGTCTCAGGAAAAGAAGTAACTCCCCAAAGCCCACTCTGGCTTAGTCACTGTGCCTGACATGTAGCCCAGGGCAAGAAAGAGATACAGGTTTCACCACATGGCCGGCTCCAGTCCATTGATATTGGCTACCAGAATGCTGCTCAAAGATACAGAGGGCCAGAAAAAAAACCACCATGATCAGTTATTATTCTTCTACCAGGGGTGGGGCCAGAGCACTGGGAACACAGCACTCATGCCACTGACTTGCTTTCCCAGAAGAGGGCAGGGCACTCCAGGGAACTCGGGATTGCCTGTCTCTGGCCTGTGCCCCAGTCTTATGCTCCCTTTGGTATCCCATGGAATCACCTCAACAATCCATACCCAGGGCTCCTCCAAAGTTGCAATACTTATCTTCACTGCCTTCTGCCACCCACCACTGCATCATACTTACCCTCCCACTAACACATGGCAAATGTACTGCACCTTTTTCCATTAGAAAACTTTATAGCATCTATAAGCTTTTCCCAAGTGGGTCAGAGCAACTGATGTTACCTTTGCCTTGCTATCCAAATAGATTACAAAATTCTCCACTCTCATTTTCTCCACCACTCAACAAATCTGTCTGTTATACACATATAACTTGGTCTGCTTATGCATGGGGTGATTGTTTTGCCATCTTCATGTCTATGTCTTCTGAGACTGTGAATCCCCAAAGGGTAGAAATAAGATCTGTTTAATACAGTAGCTCCAGCAAGCACAGCAGGACACTGTCAGAGAGAAGCATGGAGACAGCCGCCCCAGCCCACCTCTGCCATGATTCTTAATGGGACCCTAGGCAAGTTACTCCCCTGCTTAGGCCTCCACTTCCTCACCTACAATGAGATCTACTTAAAACTAATGTCTCCCTGAAGGCCCTTCTTGTAGCTCTAGTACACTACGACAACACAGGCAAAAAAGCACTGGGTTTATGTCTCTTCATGACTATGTGAGCAATAATCACTCAGGGTTAGGCTCAGCCAGATATCACAATACTGTGCCTTTGAGTGGCACAGATCTGCCATTGCAATGTGTGAAAACTCTAAAGTGGATATTTAGTGCAATGGGATGTATGTTTATGCAGCTAAGTATAATGGACAATGAAGAATGATTTTATCTCCTTTTGAGAACATAAATATACTATTCTATATTTATACCTCCCATCTCCTAATTTAGACAGGGAGGAACTTTTTCTGATCAGCACCCACTTGCCAATAATTTTGCTCTACATCTAAATGGAGAACAGGAGTCATATAAGTTCACAGATTGAATGGATGGTTGATTTACAAAGCCCTTAAAATGTGGCTGCAGGCCGATGCTGGCAACCCCATAATTAGATATGGCATGTTCTGCAATGATGTATTTTTTAACTGTTTTTTAATAACTCCGTTCTCCTTCTGGGATGAGGAGAAAAATGGAATTTGTTAAAAATAAATTGAGATTTTAGTGGCTTTTCAGCCTTCTGCTGCTTGTTGCTCAAAATATTCTATAAATAAGAGAAGCCCTGCCCTATAGTGCACTGTAAACACCCACAGACACTCACAGCCAAATTCTTCCAATTATGACCCTGTGCCTGTTGCCAAGCTACTGCAAGGACCTACTTGAAAGGCGGCCATCTAGGCCATTTCCTGATTAAGCTGCCCTGTAGCAAGGAATCAAGGCCTTCTGCTTCAGCATTGTATCTAGTCTCAAATAATTACTCCGTGTTCCTGAAATTAAGCCCTTTCCTTGTGACAGAATTACAATTCAGAGGTAAGTGAAAGGCTAACCGTCCGCCATCTGTCCGCCTGCCTAAGTGGTACATGCATTTAAGACCCTGAGCTGTCACATGTTGGACTTTATTTACATCAGGTAGCAGAAGTGCATTCACAACAGCATCTTTCATTGCACTGAGCAAATCAAGGTCAAACAAAAGTAGGTCAACTACCGACATGACAGGTGAGTCAGCTGCAGCCTGCCTTTCTGTTCAGTGGCTTCCTGACTCATCGCTTTGGGTCACCACAGCCCAATCCCGCAGGCTGAAATGGTCATTTAAAAATCCATACCATACCCCAAAAAGGAAATGAGGTTTTTACTGATCTGCAGTTCAAATGCCAGTGTGTGAGGTGGGACTGCCCTGGCCACCAGGCTCCCACATGGCCTCAGCAAGCCATTGAAGAACTGCATGCAGAGAATCGGGAGATGACAGTGTGCCACATTCTCACCGAGAGAAATTACTTCCAGCTCCTTAAAAACCAGAATGTTCAAAGCAGCAATGGAGCAAAATGGGCTCTGGCTAGAAACTAATCACCCTGCCTCCCGCCATGAGGCTTTCATGTCAGCTCAACTGGATGAGTGTTCAAGAGAAGTGTTGTCCACATTGGCCCCGGGACCCTCAAAAGGCCCTGTGACACAGTTCCTGCCCCAGGAACTCACTCCCTAAATGGGAAGCCCATTAATGAACAAGGGAATTAATATGTGGTCAGATTTTCCAAACTCAAAATTGGGACCTATATACTTGGAGGGGCAGTGTTTTTAAAAGTAGGAATCCTGTAAAACTGGGGACCTGGGGGTCACAAAGCATTGAGCTCTTCAGAGAGGGTTTTGCTGGCCGTCTAATGTAAAGGGGTCCTTCCTATGACTCTCATGCTATCCCCGGGTTCTAATTTCTTAATAGCTGAAGTGATCATGTATTCTTGTGCCCCTCTGATTAGAATGTGAGCATCAGGAAAGTGAAGACCCACTCTGTCTTGCTCTTGACTGGGTACAGAGCAACTAGAACACTGACTGGCTCTTAGTAGGTGCTCAAAAAATATTCACTAAAAAAAAAACAAATACTTGCCAGACTCTCAGAAAAGCATTATTTATACCAATCTCCCTCAATCCCTACAGCAATATTATGGGATAAAATGATTAGATCTCCCATTCAATGAGAAAATCAAGGCTCAGGGAGGGTGTGTGTTTTCCCCACGGCTGCATATCTAATGAGTGATAGAGGTGGAATTCAAAATCAGGTATGGAGTATTATGATCCTCCCTTTTTGATGAGTATGTATTGTTTTGTATAATTTAGAAAAAGCAAAAATGAAAAACTCTGGTGGAAAAACTGCTCATCAGAAAAAGCTGTAATCAACTAATCTTATCTATGATAAAATCAGTTCTGGCACCCCAAATTCAAGTTCCATGTCCATCTACAGAGGACAATGGCAGCACAGCTACAGCAAGAAGAAAGGATTCTGGGGGCTCCCTTATGGAAGGAGTCTGTTCCTTTCTTTCTGCAGGGCCTCAAAATCCAGGCAGGGAGTGGAGGGCCATTGGCACCAGCGATCATCGTGCCTACGGCTACTGGATATGTCAGGCTTGCACAATGGTTCACTGGAAATGTTCCAAAGAAAGGCCTATAAGCAAGTTTGAGGTCGCAGAGTTAAAGTACTTGGAATCCACCTTCTCCCAAACCCATATGTTGAAACTTGAAAAGAAAAAAAAAAGCATTTTTTAAATACTGAAATTTCAAAAATGTTTAAATTGGAAAGTAGAGATTTACACTTACCTGAATTGAGAATATTAAACCCTGTTGAAGCTAACTTTATCCGACCCCCCGCCCCGCTTTTTTTTTTTTTTGAGGCAGAGTCTCGCTCCATCACTAGGCGCCAGGCTGGAGTGCAGTGGCGCGACCTTGGCTCACTACAACCTCCGCCTCCTGGGTTCAAGCAATTCTCCTGCCTCAGCCTCCCAAGTAGCTGAGACTACAGGCACACACCACCACACCCAGCTAATTTTTTTGTATTTTTAGTAGAGGCGGGGTTTCACCATGTTGGCCAGGATGGTCTCGATCTCCTGACCTTGTGATCCGCCCGCCTCGGCCTCCCAAAGTGCTGTATCCCCCTTTTTAGTCTATAACTCACAATGAAATTCTTACTAGTCTGATGTTTTGGGCCAAAAAAGCCTCTCCAGTCTATCCTCTAGATGCAGGCTATGGCTTGAGTTCATGTGCAAATCAGCAGGTGCATCTCATCAAAATGGCCAGGCCAGTTCTCATGTATGAATACCTATCTCAAATACAGGAAATAAATGCAAATGCAGATAGTATCAACGAAAAATGTATTTCCAAGTGTTTTCAAGTTGCCCAACAACCCTTAAATACAAACATCCTGCAGAAACATTACACCCTCCATGGCTGTAAATGAGCAGCAGCACAGTGACAAAAGAGCACATAACCTTCCACATCAGAAACTGTTAACCGGGATCCCTGGGTAGATTTCAGGGAAAATGTCTCATGAAAAATGCTAGACTTATATTTGTGATGTGCATTTTTTTTAAGAGGGTCTATAAATTTCATCAGACTCACAAAGTGATCTGTGACCCCAAAAGACTAGGAATACCACCACTGTTGCCACTCCTGTTTCATTTAGACAATGCTGCTGACACAAACAACAATATAGGAAGACCTTTCACAGTAAATATGATGATGGTGACAATCAGAAAAGATTGTCAAGCTCTTATGCAGACGATCCAGCCACCGGAAACTGCTCAATCAGTGACAGAAAAGAAGTCAGTAGCTAAAAAGGGACTAGGAAATAGCTGCGCCTTAGCTTGAGCCCACTGCCCAGACAGGGACAAATGGCACAACCAGAAAAGAGCAAGAAAGCAAACTTAGGGGCCAGAAAGTCTTGAGACAGGTGAACTTGGGAGCAACAGGAGAAAAAACACAGGCTTTGGAGCCAGCCAGGGCCTCACATACAGACTCAATCTGCAGCTTTGGGATGATAATGATGATAACAACAGCTGCAATGAGCTATTATTTGCTGCCAGCACAATGTCTGGCACACAGTGAGCACATACTTATGTATTTAGGAAATAACATGTTATTTCATTTAATTTTTATTTTTTATAAAAAGAGAAGGGGTCTTGCTATGTTGCCCAGGCTGGTCTTGAATTCCTGGCCTCAAGTAACCTCCCATCTCAGCCTCTCAAAGTCCTGGGATTACAAGAATGAGCCACTATGTCTGGTCATTTCATTTAATTTTTATCACAATGCTGTATTATCTTCATAATATAGAAAATATACATATTATTTATTATATACATAATACCTATATAATCTTCCATATTATCTCTCTATATATATCATCTTTATCTTCTAGATGTGGAAAAGGAAGGTTAAAGAAATAAGTAGCATGCTCAAGGTCCCCAGATTGTTGAGATTCAATCCAGGATCTGTTTGGCTATAAGCCCATACTCTTAACTACTAAGCAGTGGCAATATTCAGCTTCCTCATCTGTAAAAGAAGATTATAATTCTTACATCCCCAAAGCAGTAAAGACTAGATAGAATGCATGTGAAGTGCTTACCATGGTGCCTGGCACACAGGAAGCCCTCTAATGTAGATTCCTATGACATCAGAACCTTTGGAAGGGAGAGGAGAGGTGGGAGGTGAGCACGCAGCTATACAGATGGTACAGCATCTCACTTTGCAGGTCTTGACAAGCAGGATTAGGAACTCTGGACCAAGGCTTAAATGACTGGGATGAGGCTGGTCCAAAGGTAGTGAGTTATCTTCACTGATGGTTCAGTCTGTAACAGATCAAACTCCTTGTTCTACTTTTTCCCCTGCTTCTCACTACTGCACTTGACTAGTCTTAAAAAAAAAAAAATTTTTAATAAAATAAAATTTAAAGGACTGGCATGACATACTCTCAGGGACACAGAGGGGACACATCTCATCAAGATGAAAAATAATGTGCTTACTCAGAGATGAAAGGCTTGTCATCAAAACTTGGAGAGGGTTGACTTTTTGAAAGAAGGAATCATTCAAGCACACACACCAAAAAGGTGAAAAAAGGCAGCACCAGACAGCATGGCTATGCCCAGGCCAGGAATGTGTGCCTGTTACCGGCCTGCGTCCCTGAGACCCAAGAATGGTATGGCTCCTGTGCATGTTTGTAAGAAGGAAGATACTAGGCCAGGCATGGTGGCTCACGCCTGTAACCCCAGCACTTTGGGAGGCCGAGGCAGGCAAATCATAAGGTCAGGAGTTCCTGACCAACATGGTGAAACCCTGACTCTACTAAAAATACAAAAATTAGCCTTGCGTGGTAGCACGCGTCTGTAATCCCAGCCGCTCAGGAGGCTGAGGCAGGAGAATCACTTTAAACCAGGAGGTAGACATTGCAGTGAGCCGAGATTGTGCCACTGCACTCCAGCCTGGGTGACAGAGTGGGACTATGTCTCAAAAAAAAAAAAAAGAAGGGAAATGCTAGAACCCTAGTTATCTGTAAACCCCACCTGGAACTTAGGTACAGTCTAGGTATTCTTTAAAAAAAAAAAAAGAAAAAGAGAATTTGTCAGAGCAGCATCAAATAGAGAGAAATGTACTCACTGTAAGAAAAAAACAAATGACAGTGTGGCTTGGAGTGTGCAAAGATACACGGATTCATCTGCAGGAAGAATAATCCCATTCACTGACACCACCATCTTGACTATCCTCTTATTAAAAAGTAAAACAGGGGAGGTTGTGGAGCAGCAGAGTCACTCCCCAGAGAGCCAATGCCCTGCAGAGAACATGCATCCCAGGGCCTAGGTTTGCTTGGTGAAAAAAACACCGCTGAGTGTCAACAGTCTCTCCCTGGACCAGCTCATCCCCTCCTGCTTTTCTTATAAAGGAATCACTATACCAAGTTATCCAGATAGAAATCAAAGACACTCAAAGATCTTCAGGTCCTGTCATCTGTCCCCTCTTCTCCATCCCCACAGCTCTAGCACAACACTCAGCATCAATTTCCTGGACAATTTTAACAGCCGCTAAAGTAATTCTGCTGCCTCCCTCCTACAGACCAGCCCCCACACTGCCACCAGCTGGCTTTCTAAAATAAAAGTGCTGACCACGTCACTCACCTCCTGAAAGATGTCTACTAGATTTGCATTGCCTGTGAAATAAACTCCAAAGTCTTCACTTGCATGCAGGCATGCACTAACTCAATCATATGTCCATCCACCCACCTCATGTTTCAGGATCACCTACTGTGTGCCAGGCTCTGTTTGAAGCCCTAGAGTGCTAAATGCAATAGTAAGACCAGGTTCCATCTTCATGGATTTATATTCTTGTGGCGTTAGACAAACAGTAAACAAGAAGACAAGCAAGCATATCATATAAAGTCAGGGAGTGATGAGTGGCAATGAGGGAAACCAAAGCAAGGTAGGACAGACTGGTTGAAGCAGTGGGGGAGAAGGGGCAGAACAATGCTTTTTCAGACAGGTGGGAGAACACTTGAACAGAGGCCAGCATGGAGTGAAAGTGAGCCAGACAATGTCTGGGGAAGAGCAATCCAGGCTGAGGACAGCAAATGCAAAACTCATGAGGCAAGAAGGGGAACCGTAAGAAAGATGCAGCAGCTGAAATGGAGTGAACAGAGAGTGCCAAGTGATGCGACCAGATAAGATGAGCAGGAGGGGATGGCAGGCCCGGACAAGATGCTTAGATTCCATTCCAAAGATTCCAGAAAGCCATTGGAGAGTTTTGAGCAGGGAAATGACACATATTTGTTTTTTTAAAGATCTCTTTGCCCATTTAGAAAACTGACAGAGACCTGCTGAGAGATAGTGGAGGTCTAAACAGGGGTAGAGAGCAGTGGTCTAGTCTGTTTGGTTGATAAAGAAATGGACTAATATAATAATGATAATTTAGACCAGCCTGGGCAACATGGCTAGACCCTGTCTCTAAAAAAATTAAAAAAAAAAAAAAATCAGGCAGCAAGTGGCATGTGTCTGTAGTTCCAGCTATTTGGGAGGCTGAAGTAGGAGGATCCTTTGAAGCCCAAGATTTCAAAGCCACATTGAGCTAGGATCATGCCACTGCACCTCAGCCTGGGTGACAGAGCAAGACTCAGGTTTATTATATTAATTGTACTATATAATAATAATGATGATGATAATACTAAAGAGCCTTGGTGGCTTCCAGGACACACTCTGAAGTACAAGCTATCAGGAATTGCAATGTTTGAGATGACAGATATGTTAATTATCCTGATCTGGTCACCGTAGATTATATGTATGGAAACATCACTATATACCCCATAAATATGTACAATTATTATGTGTTGATTAAAAAGAAGTAAATTGGCCAGGTGCAGTGGCTCACACCTGTAATCCCAGCACTTTGGGAGGCTGAGGCAGGCGGATCACTTTAGGTCAGGAGTTCGAGACCAGACTGGTCAACTTGGTGAAACCCCATCTCTACATTTTGTAAAAATACAAAAATTAGCCAGGAGTGGTGGCAGACGACTGTAATCCTAGCTACTTGGGAGGCTGAGGCACGAGAATTGCTTGAACCCGGGAGGCGGAGGTTGCAGTGGGCTGAGATCATGGCACTGCACTCCACCCTGGGCAACAGAGCAGACTCAGTTTCAAATAAATAAATAAACAAACAAGTTTAAAAACCAGTAAAACAAACAAAAGATAAATTGCAAACAGATGCTATGAAGAACACAGGAAGAAGCAGAACCAAAGATGATGCCCGCATTTTAGGCCTGGGTAGTCGGATAAAAATGATGGGACCTCATAACACAGGGAAGACTGAGGAGAAGCAAGGTTAGTTTTTTATTTATTTGTTTCTATAAGAACAAATGAAGACTTCTGTTTAGTTATGTTGGGTCTGGGAAGACCACTACACCTCAATGTGCAGCTGCTGAATGGGCAGAGGGTATGGGAGTTGGGGGCTCAGGAAGACAATCCGGGCTGGTAACCAAGATTTGGAGCTTGCCAGCATATGGGTGACTGCAAAGATGTGGCCACTCAGGTCCTCCACCTCTTGGCTCCAGCTCCAGACATGTACCCAGTGTGTCACCTCCTACCAGGGCTCTCGCCTCTGCCCTCCTGGACCCTTCCTACTTGTACAGCTGGTAGACTCCTTCCTACTCATCTTACTCACAATGACCGGGTGCAATGGCTCATGCCTGCTATCCCAGCATTACAGGAGGTCAAAGTGGGAGGATCGCTTGAGGCCAGAGGTTCAGGACCAGCCTAAGCAACATGGCTAGACTCTGTCTCTACAACAAATTTTTAAAAATCAGGCAGGAAAGTGGCACATGCCTGTAGTTCCAGCTACTTGGGAAGCTGAAGCAAGAGGATCCCTTGAAGCCCAATATTTCAAAGTCTCAGTGAGCTAGGGTCTTGCCACTCTATTATAGCCTGGGTGACAGAACAAGACTCTCTCTTTAAAAGAAGAAAAAAAAAGGCTTGCTCACAAGTCACCTCTTCTCTATGAGGTCTTCCAAGAGAGAATCAATGTCATCTTCTCTTCTCCCACAGCACCTACTGCATACCTTGGAGATGGAACAAACCCATGTGTCGCTTTATGTATTTACACCTTTTCTCCCTGTGAGCTTCTTGAAGTCAATGATTCTATTTCTCTCTGAATCCCTTCACCTAACATAAGGCCTGAGCATGATGAACATTTGCTAAATAAATGGAGTTTTCCTCTTTGCAAAGAGATGCAGAAGAAATTATATAAATGCAAACTGACTCACACTGCAGCTGCTGTCTGCAAGGGGGACAAAAAGGTGAAAAAATAAGGTGCTGTCATTGAAGCACTAATAAAGCTCAATGGGGTAAAAGAGTATCTTCCTTTGAGGAGTTCCTTAACAAAAAAGAGCTTCAAGAAATCTAAGAATTGAGTATCTCAGGGTGTTGCAAGGTGTAATAAATACCGCACCTAATGAAGGTATTTTGGTTTCAACTGCAGAAACACCCAGTTAGTCCAAAACCAGTGCACTCAGGAGTTGGAGACAGAGGGAAGGAAGCCGACATTCCTTCTCATTCAATCTGGACAGTGAGTCTGGGAAGCAGGTCCTCTTAGCCCTCCTTCACAGACAAGGACAAGCATCAGGGAGTCAGGTGATTAGCCTGAGGTCACAGCTGGGAAGTACAAGAGCCAGTATACTCACTCAGGCCTATCCAACACCAATGCCGAGCTCCTTCCAGCCTCATGCAGTGATAGAGGTTCATGCAATAGACAGGGTCCTTAGAACCACCCGAACCCCAGACTGCACCAAGGACATAACCTAGTAGTTCTGGAGAGGGGATGTTATTTACTCATAATTACTGAGGAGTTACCAGCAGTACCGAAGCTGGAATCTAAGTTTCTGATTCACAGGCCAGGCTCTCGGAGCACTGTGTATTCTCTCACATAGTCTTTAAATGGCAGAGACAAAGCAAAAAATAAAATGTTAACAGTCTAATCTATCTGCTTACAAGTACCTTAGAAATAAAAGTTGAGAGGAAAGGGAAATTGTGTTTTTTGTCAATTATGACTGATGCGTGACCCAGGGGCCCCACTAACAAGCAGGAAAGTAACCAAGCAGCTGTCACTGCCCCAAGTGGGTTACTAAACCAGCAGCACAAATCAAACTGACTGGCACGTGGCAGGCAGCATTCTCATATGTTCAGGCAAATATCTGCTGACCACCTACTATAAGCAGGACCCCAAGCAAGGCAGCAAAGATGGAGAAAAAGACCCTGGAGATGAACTGTGGCTCTCCCACTCAATACACATATAATATTCATACATTAACCTCTCTAAGCCTCAGTTTCCTCATCTGTAAGAAAGAATGGGAAGCCCATTTCACAAAGCTGCTCTGATGTTCTGGGGACTAAGTGAGATGACACATGTGCTTAGTATATAGGAGTCATGCAGTAAACACGAAATGGTTGGTAGTTTGCTCATTGCTGGGCAACCCAAAATAACTTATACCTATCATAGAAAAACGAATGCAAAAAAACCAGCTACACCAAAGTTCTTGTAAACTCTCAGTAAAAATAAATAATCTTGAAGACATTTTCAGTGGCTGAGTATTTCAAGGCAGGGCTCGGGGAGAGGCAGACTGAAAGGAAAAAAAAAGGGAAAAAGAGAGGAGCTGAATTTGAATAGAATAGTGTACTGGCAAGGTCAAAAGAAGTTAACATGTACATAAAAAATGTAACTTTATCTCTAGTGGATACAGCTGTATATTAATTATTTATGGTCTATCTTCTGTGTCAAACTCCTATTGAACCTTCAGTACCCCACCTGCTTTTCCACCCCACCCCACCCCACCTAGAAGGTTAATTAATCATTCCTCTATTAATCAGTTCCTCTTACTAAACAGACTATTTGCTTGTTAGGCTCCCATAACAAATACTGAGCTCCTGAGAATACACACTGTGTATGATTCATCTCTGGGTTTACATGGTAGCCTTCCTCTCACTCCAGGATCCTCAACAAGTAGCCACCAGCTTGGAGCATCCCCAAGGAACTTTCCCTCTACAGCAGGAAAATGAGAGAGGACTCATATCTATAGACTGTTTATTTTGTGCTGAACATTTGAGAGGCACGTGTCAAATATTAACTTGTATATCCTTCAAAACGTCCCTGGGAAAGAGTTACTGTCCCTACTTTGCAGAAGGAGACACTGATGCTCAAAGAGGTCGGGTCATCAGTCAAAGAGTCACACTGTTAGTAAATGTGATGATGCCAGGATTTGAACCCAGGTCTGTCTGGCTCCAAGTGCCTCTTTCCACTAGGCCAGAATGCCCAGCATGGGTCTGATGACACTGAGAGAACCCTGGAAGGATAAATCATCTGAGCATCAAGTCTATTTGGCCTCATAAATAAGGTTAGTGCTAAGAAGCCAATGAAGGGTAAACCATTTGCAAACATCAGATACCATCTAAGAGCCAGAGAGGAGAGCTAGAGAAGGGAGAATTCAAAATTTCACATGGAGTGAGCAGGTGGTAAACTGACTATCTCCCAGACCTGTCCTTTGTTAGCACTCCTACAAGAAATCTATGAATAAAAGTGATCACTGGAAGCCTAGGACCATTACTTCCCTTTCCTTTCCTCATCTAGTTCAGTAAAGGAAAGAGCCATGGGGCATTGTAGGCAAAAACTTTGTCTGCCATCTCTCCCTCCCCAGGTCTCTGGGTCCTGGCACTCTCTGGCTGGGCTCCAAATGCTGACCGGGCCTTAGTATTAATGACTCAGCCCTCGATGGGGAAGACGAGCCAGCCTGGCAGAGCTGTGGAAAAGGAAGCCGTGATTTGGCTGTAATTCTTCCGAAGGCTACCTGGCACAACTGATATCCTTATTAATTATTTAATAATTGAGTACCATATTTAGGGAACTATTTTGTCACTTTGCAGCATGATAACCATCATCAAAGTCAAGATATGAAAATCATATAATTAAATCTACAGACATATATTTTGAATGCTTTTCTAAGATAAACATGTAATTTTTTTTTAAAGGTGGGGTTTTATCATGTTGGTCAGGCTGGTCTTGAACTCCCAACCTCAGGTGATCCGCCCGCTTTGGCCTCCAAAGTGCTTGGATTACAGGCGTCAGCCACCATGCCCGGCCCTACATGTAATTTTTTATGCTCGTTATTTGTGAGCTTTTAAGTTTACTCTTCTTATACATGTTTAAGTATAAACTAGATTAGCAAAGCCATAATGGGACGCTCCTAGGAAGAGCATGAATTGGTACAGCCTTTTTGGAGGGTAATTTGGCCATATGGATTCAAATTTTAAATGGCAAACCATTTAAGCCAACAGTCCTACTTCTATGTATCTATACCAAAGAAAATCGCATGTAAAAGTTCACAGGTGTTGACAAAAATTTCCACAGCAGCAATGGCTACAATGGCAAAAGATCAGAAACAACCTGAGTGTCTGCCAGCCCAAAATGAAATTTACTTAACATACTTCCATATCATGGAATACAACTTTTAAAAGTAACAAGTATATTTATCTGTACATATAGACTTGGAAAAAGAACCATAATAATTGACAGCTGTAAAAAGAAAGCTGCAGAATACCATGTACAGAGAGAGTCTATCTTTATGAAACAAAAGTGAAAGTGTCTATGTCATGATTGAGGGCAAAGGGTAGGGCGGAAAGAAACAAGCAAATGCAAAAGTCCAGGAGTATAAGAAGCAAACTCTCAAAAGTGCTTATGTTTGGGGAATGGCTGGAAAAGGGTCGGGGAGGTCACAGAGGTTTTGTTGGTTATGTTAAAGCACTTCATTGTTGTTTGAATTTACCATGTGGTTATTACTTTTGTGATGTCAAAAAGAAAAAAGTTTTTAAAAGCTCATAAAATAATAGATTTTTTAAATTTTGGTATTTGCAAGGGCCCCCCAGTAGAGTGACCACCATTGAAAGCTGAGTCTCCTTTTTGCCCTCTGCATGTGGCCACAGTGCCGGAAGTGTGCTAGCTAGAAGGAGGCACAGACTCACCAGAGGAAAGACTGCAGAAGGCAATGACCTCAAGTTCTGAGAAGCTCAAACTCTTTGCCTATTTCAACAAAGATTCAGCCAAAGGTCAAGTATTTAATTATTATTATTATTATTATTATTTTTAGACGGAGTTTCGCTGTTGTTACCCAGACTGGAGTGCAATGGCACGATCTCGGCTCACCGCAATCTCCACCTTCTGGGTTCAAGCAATTCTCCTGCCTCAGCCTCCGGAGTAGCTGGGATTACAGGCATGCACCACCATGCCCAGCTAATTTTTGTATTTTTAGTAGAGACGGGGTTTCACCTTGTTGACCAGGATGGTCTCGATCTCTTGACCTCGTGATCCACCCACCTCAGCCTCCCAAAGTGCTGGGATTATAGGCGTGAGCCACCGCGCCCGGCCCGCCCGCCCTTTTTAAAATTATTTTAGTCTAATTTTAAAAAGGGCAGATGGGGTGGCTCACGCCTGCAATCCTAGCACTTTGGGAAGCCGAGGCAGGCAGATCACCAAGTCAGACAGGAGTTTGAGACCAGCCTGACCAACATGATGAAACCCAGTCTCTACTAAAAACACAAAATATTAGCCAGGTGTGGTGGCGGGCACCTGTAATCCCAGCTACTTGGGAAGCTGAGGCAGGAGAATTGCTTAAACCTGGGAGGCAGAGGTTGTAGTGAGCCAAGATCACAGCACCGCACTCCTGCCTGGGTGACAGAGTGAAACTTTGTCTCAAAAAACAAAACAAAACAAAACAAAAAAAAAATGAGTGTCTTTTATTTTTCAAATTTACAACACCATAAATTATTGAATAGCAGTTCACTTGTTTGCAACCTCCCTTCAATAGTAGCTATCAAAATTTATATCCTGCATTATTTAACACTTTATGTTGATGTATAAGCCTTGCTGAACACTTTTTAAAATTTGTTAATGAGGAAATCCCACAGGGAGGAGAGAAGGTAATTCTACTAAATCCAAAAGAGCCTAAAATACTATTATAGCTACTTGGGGTATCATAAGAATGTCAACTTAGCAAGTAAGATATCCTTCCTACCTATGGTCACAGTTGCTAGTGGAAATAATTCTAAATTGATGTACATTGTCTAAGGGGTATTAGTTATGTTAAGCAGAGACTGCAAACTCAATTACGTACAGGGGCTGAGTAGGCCATGGAAAGGTACAGAGAGGCTGGTCCAGCCAGGGCAGGCTGGAGAAACAAGCTCCCAGGGGAGGGACACCACTCTTCTGCACTGCCACATGGAAGACAGGCCCAGGGTCGCTAGACCTTCGATTTTTCATGAAGAGCTGGAAATCTGGATTTTGATACAAAAATCTACCCATAATTAAATGTTAGCCACTAATTTAAACATCTTAACACATTATGAGCACTGAACAAAATACATCTGCAAGCCAGATGCAGCCAAGGCGTAGAGAGTTTTCAACCTCTGCCTAAAAATATCTACTTTTTTTTTTAATGGCTAATTTTGCTTAATTTTTTTTTTCAGAAAGATTGGAAGAGGCAGAGCAATGGTATAGAATGGAGAGAATGGAGATAAAAAACATGAGAGTCAAGTAGTTGCTATTAAGAAAATATTTCTAACATACTTGTGAAGACAATGGTAGCTGTTTATGTCAAATTTACATTTATTTAGCTACACAAGGCACAAAACTTTGAGAGGGAGAATTTCTCGGGTCTAGAGTAGATAATAACTCAGTGCATTGCACACAATTTCCTGTCAATGAACCTCTAAAAACTTCCTATTATGTATTATAAATAAAAATGTTAAACAATAGTGACCATTGAAATAATGGCTCTTCTTTACCAGGTACTGTCCAGGCATTTGACACCCAGGGTCACCAATGTGGATCGTACATCCACTGAAAAAGATTCCAATAAAGGCCAATGTGACAAGACTCTTTCCAAGATGAAAAACAAAAAGACAAAGGACATAGACTCAACATCATAAAATTGAGCTCCATCATTTTTTTCAAAGACAAAATAATAGATATACTTGTGCTAATAATAATATATGGACATAATGTGCAATTCACAAAGCACTTTTCTTATATACCATCTCCCTAAAAGCCTGCATTTTAGACTTTAGACTTTATATCTGGTCCAAAGTCTTCTTATAGTTATTATTAGCAATACTTTGACAAGTAACAATAATGATAATAGGATAAATACTTGGTGCTTTCCACATGCCAGCCACAGTGCTAAGCACGTTTTCATTTCACTCTCACAAGAATCTTATAAAGGTTATTCTAATGATTACAATCCCATTTTACAGAAGAGAAAACAGAGGCTTAGGGAGCTTGGTGGGTTTGTCTTAAGTCACACCACTAGATAGACATGGAGCTGACGTTCTGAAGTAGGTGGGCATCCAGAGCCTGAGATCAGTATGCTGAATGCCCTTTGAAGGAGGTGTCTGGAGGCCAGCTGTGCTTTAAGCCCATCTCAGTTTGCTGCTGACAAATCTACCTAGGGCGTGGCTAACATCCCCCTTCCTGTTCTCCCACATCCACTTTCCCCATTTGGTCAGAAGCCATTTAAAAATTTTTATTTTTCCCAGTCAAAAACAGTGTGAGTCAGTTGAAGCTCAGCCAGCCTGGCCCTGGAAAGCCCTGGAGGCCTGGTGAGGTGCCCTAGGGAACTGGGCATCCCCTGCTGCCCAGGCCCCTGCCCAACTGGCTGGAGTCTAGGTAGGGTGTTTACATCACTGCAATCTGAATGAGGTCTGGGAAGACTGTCCTGATAGTCATAACAACCCTGTGAAGTCGCCAAGGTACCAAAGTGAGGGGTAGGGGAAAAGGGAGGTACCTTCAGATTAGGAAAAGAGAAAACATGTATTTAGCCAGGAGCTATGATATATCTATTATTCAAGGCTCCATGTTAGACTCCTGAGAGAGGGAGATATAGCAGGGGATAAATAACACAAATAAAAACATTGTGCATGAAAAAAGCACACATCCACACACACATGCACACATACAAACTGCACCATGGAGCAGCTGCTCTTAAGGTAATGACCTCTGGCTCTCCCTCAGCCTTCTCTAAGGCCCTGAGCCCTGACTGTACAAAGTACTGTCCCACCACAGAAACCAAAGGCCAGGGCATATGGATCATTATAACCCACCATGGCAGTCATCCTCAGAGTGTGTGCATGTCAAGAGGACCAGAGGAAGGGCAGCTGGCTCTGCCCTGAGAGGCAAAGGGGGCCCCTTTCCTTAAATAAAGACAAAGAAGGACAACAAGGGGGTTGTACGGTAGAAAGAAGGGCAAAAGGAGTGGGCAGAAGAAGCAGACCTTAACAAAGCACAGATGCTTCCTCAGCACAGCTGGCTCTGATACAGAAACATGGAGGCGAGGGTGAGGGCCAAACTCTATGCATACACCCAGTGAGCTCCAGAAAGGAGGAAGCCTGGGCTGGCTCTTCTCTGGTCCTAGCCCATGCTCTGTGATTCAAGAGTCAAGAAATCACTGTGGGCAAGTGGGCAGTCCCACAGGCTTTCAGTCAACTCCAGCTGAGCACCTGCCTAGAGTCCTAGGTACTCCTGCTATCCTGGGGATGCCCAGCAAGGGAACAAACATTCATTCATCAACTAACCACACAAACAGAGATCATGACCTCCATGGCAAGTGCTGAAAAGGGACAGGCTGCAAGGACCTGGAGCAGAGGGAATGGTGGCATACAGAAGAAAGGGGCAGAGCGTAAACCCACAGTCCAGCAACTGGGATAAACTCCTACTCTGTCTCCCACTCAATGGGGTTGAGGCCTCAGTTTCCTCACACAGTGTCTTTGGGATAATGATGACACCTCAACCAACATCTACCCAGCCCCTAATACAAGGTAGCTACCCATGAAGCATTCTGACAGTGCTTGACACAAGATAAGCAGTCCATAAATGCTAGATGCTGACATGGGAAAGGTGAGGACAAGACCTAGCCTTCTTATCAGGGAGGATGGGGAGGCTTCTGAGGAGGAGGCAGGCCAATCAGCTGAGTTCCAAAGGGTGAACGGGCATGAACTAGGCAGACCAGGAGGAAAATGCATTACAGGCTGAGGGAACAGTGTATGGAAAGTCCCTACAAGGGGAGGCAGCAACACAAGCATTTCCAGCCCAGGAAAGCAGTTCCAAGAGCCTGCTGGAGTGCCCTGGTCTGCAGGACACCTCGGTGCTGAGCATGGCTCTCTTCTGAAAAGCTTTCCTAGATGACTATGAGCCCCCAAATAAAAGCTGCACTCTTGGCACAACTTCTTAGGTCTCTGGCAGAGTTAGGAAGTGAAGAAGACACAACAAGCATCAAGCTTAAGGCCCTGAATGAAAACATGAGAGTTTATGAGCTATTGACTAGGTGCATTGTGCTGGCTCCCATGCAGAGAACAGACGCCGGACTTGGGACCCCTGGAGTCAGAGCTTCTTCCTATTTGTTGGATTCCTCAGTATTCACTGGGGACTTTATGTGGTTTAAAATGAAGACAAAGAGGTCCTCAGGCATCCCGACGAAGGGCCACTAGGTATCCTCACCCTTCAAGAAAAGCATTCTCAGCTGGACTAAGCGGGGGAAGGCTGTCAGACAGTGGTTGGCAAGAATAGCTATTTTAGCTAATTTAGAATATTTGGGATTCATCCAGGACCAAGCTCGGTGGACCTCATTCCTGAGAATTCCTTGAGGACCTTTCATTTTGTATTGTTATTATTTGTCCATCAACAACAAGAGCTAAAAAAATTAAAAGTCAGGGGCAAAGAATGTAGAGAAGAGACATTGCTGAGGCATCAGTATGCTGGGAGACACAACAGGCAGTCACAAACTCAAACCCAACACAATCTGTCCTGCACTCAAAGCTGACAAGAAGAGTGCCCCAATAAACCTGATGGCCAATGAACCTCCCATTTCAAGTGCATTTTATCACACCATAAATCTGTTGCTTGGCTGCACGAACAGACCAGTCCTCACTCTTTCAACAAATACTTCTTGAGCCAGGTAAACTATGCTGGTACTTGGAACAGAGAGAGAGAAAGAGAGAGAGAGAGTGTGTGTGTATATGGTCTCCACCCTTAAGGAGCTCAGGTTGCTGAGCCTAACAGATAAATAAATCAACAGTTACACTGATAAGTGCTTTGCAAGAGAGAAAGACATGCAGGGTATTCTGGGAACCAGGAGGAAGGTCATTTCCAGGTCATGGAGAGGTGCTGGGTAGGGAAGAATGGTGTCCTGAAGAGTAGGGACAAACTGGAGCTGATTTCCCTGGAGGGTGAGGGTGAGCAGTGACCACGTCATTCCCAGGAGAGGGCCCAGCACTGGCAAAGGCACTGGAGGTGACGGCTATTGGTAGCTTGGCTGAGGTTAGAAACATGAGTTAAGGAAAACCTAGAAGGGGGTCGGGGGGCGCAGAGGGAGGCCAGATAAGAAGACTGCCGACCCGCTGAAGGGGGTTAGCTTTTATTTTCTAAGCATTGAGGAGCTCTTGGAGAATTTTAAGCAGAAGAAAGCTCTGATCAGAAATGTGTTAGAAATATCATATTGATAGGAGTGTGAGCAGTGGACTGAGGGAGGAAAAAGGTGAACACAGGATGACTGATAAAGAGGTTGTCATAGAATGAAATGATGAGTCCTAAACACAGGAGTGGAGAGACGGACAAGAACTGAGTTGACAAATTAGAAGATGAGCTCTTCAGGATATGGTAACCAAGGGAATATGAGGGAAAAGACAAGGCCAGGACGACTCCTGAAGCAGAAGCAACTGAGGCTCATGGACCAAGCAGGTAGCCCAGGGAGAAAGACGCATGTGGCACTCAGAGGGGACAGACAAGCTGAGGTGCCCTTGGGGCAGACCACTAGGAGTGTGGACTAGGAGGAGGGTATGGAGACCCAGGTGTCTTCCAGTCAGAGGTGAGTGTTGGATAAGCTTACCTAGAGAGGCCATCAAGGATGACGTTAAAGGGACCAAGCCAGACCAGAAGCTAAGGACAAAGAACAGATTACCAGCACAGCAGGCTGTGGAGGCTGGAATCTGAGCAGCTGAAGAAGAACCCGGAGCAGACCCAGGAGAGGCATGCTCAGCAGAGCTGAAGAAGGTGAGGCCTTTCCTCGCTGCAGGGAGCAGTCAGCTGGGCATTAGCAATGGAAGCCAAGCAAAATAATTAAAACAATGTGCTGACAGCACAGCCGACAATCTGTAGTCACCCCAAAAGGACTTTTATGGATTCTACCCACTACGAGCTCACTGTCTCACTTCACTTCTTGGACAGGCCTTTCCCCCTCCACCCTGGTCTCACTGTCTTTTATTTCAGAGTGAGATCATACCTGATGTCCCATTCTACATCTAATACATGTAGATGTCTGCCTCAAATGTAGATGTCTGCCACAACAGCAGAGACCTTGTCCTGTTTCACCTCTATAACCATGGTGCCAAGAGCAGTGCCTGAGAGGTTAAGCACCTTGTACCAAGACCCTTGGTTCATTCGAAGAAATTAATAACTAGTGAATAACAAACGTATTACATGCCAGATTCTGTGCTACAATGCTGGGGATACAGTGAAAAACAAGACAAAATAGGAGCCTGCCTTTGGAGCTTGAAGTTGGAGGTAACTGGAGAGAAATGCCGAGAGTTTAAACAAAAATGACATTATAATTGTCATAAAGCTAGGATTAGAATCTGACTCTCATGCCTTCTAGAGCTATTTTCTTTCCAAGCCCAAGGCTGCTGCTTTCAACTAAATTTTATCTGGGGAAACAGTTAAGTGTTTGAGGTTTGGCCTTAGTCTCTTCCAGACTTCCCACACTTCTTCCGCCCTTTCAATAGACTCCTAAGAAGTGGGAACACCCACTACAGGCTCTGAATATTTAACCTGAGGGACTCAATCTATCTCTAGTCCTTCTACATTAGCAGGACGAAAAACTCCAGACATTTTCTTTCACCTGAGAGAAAACAGGAAGCAGCGTAAGCCAGGGATTGTACAGACCCGGGTTCAAATCCCTTGTAATCTTGCATAGGTTACTCAACCTCTTTATGACTTATTTCTAGCTGAAATGAGAATACTATTAGTAATTCCCCCATCATAGGTCATTGCAAAGATGAAATGGGATGATACACAATAGCACTTAGCACTGGACTTAGTACATAATGAGTATTCAATAAATCATAGCTCTAAACTAGTTACACCTGTTGCTTTTATTACTAGATCTCTAACTGCTGTATTCACACAAACCAAGTCAAAAACTACTTAGAATTCAAACCAAAGAAGGTACACTTAAAATACTCAGAGCACAAATTGATACATAATCAAATCACGACTGGAGAAATTATCCTCAAGTCCCCATACCTGGATAAACTCTGCAGTAAGAAGATTTATTTCAATTTTTGGTCCACTCTATTTTCTCCTCCAATTTATACAAATGCAACTTCCCCAACAGATCACATCTTGTTTCATGGCAGAGGTCCAAACATGGGCTGGATTCTGTGGTGCAAGTTGTGGCAGAGTTATGAACACCACACCTCAAAGGGAGCATAAGAACACAATCACAAGCCCAAGGTACACACAAACTCCCAAACACAGTTTGGCTCCAAAGAAGGAAATGAGAACTGGTCACAGCATGCTTTCCCTGCTAAAGCAAAGGTTATTCTGACAAGTGTCTAAATCTTATGTGTCTTCCTTCCTTTACTACCTAAACCTTCTATGAGTAGTCTATTTTTGTAACATCTCAATTCTTTATCCTTCATTTATGTCCAATTCCATGCAACCTGGCTTCCTTTCCCTTACCCTCTTGTGACATTATATTCCTCAAGGCCATCTGCAAAGACCTTGTCACAAATTCACTAGCCTCCCTTCAGATCCCTTCTCCCTGGTCGCTGCTGCCCCATTCTCTTCCCTTCCTGGGACTTTCCTCCATGGGTTCTCGGTCCCTTCCACCTTCTTCTTTCCATCCCAAAGTTCCCTACAGATTGGCCCACTGCTCATCTTGGGGAGACTATATTTAATACTATGACTTCCATTCTACATCTCTAGACTTAAACTTCTCAGGCCAGGCCTCAGCCCTGCATGTCCAATTCTCTGCTGGACATTTCCTATGGATGAACCGCTGTTATCAAGAATTCAACATATCTAAAACCAGGTGCATCAGCTACTCCTTTCAAGCCCCCACATCTACATTTCTGTCAATAACATCATTGTGAACAAGCAAGTTTAAAATTTCATCCTCTTTGACTCCTGTCTCTAAAGTCTAAGAAGACTGAAAACACTATTGGTTCTCCCTTTGCAGTATCTCTTCCATTGGTCCTTTGCTTCCATTTTCACTAGTGTTCACCACAAGACCTCATGACTGGATGGCTGCTGCTACCTTCCAATGGGCGCCTATGCCTCCTGTCCAGCTAACCCATGAATGTTCCTAAAATGTAAACATCATTTCCACCATTTCACTTCTTAGCCCAAAATAATTTCAATGGCCTCCCACTGTCTTCAGGATAAAGTCTATGTGCCTTAGCCAGGCATTTAGGGTCTAGAAAAGGAGTTGGCAAACTACATCTCGCAGGCCAAATCCGGCCCACCACCTGTTTCTGTAAATAAAGCTTTACTGGAACACTGCCACACCCATTCATTTGCATATTATCTATGGCTGCTTTCATGCTACCATAGCAGAGTGGAGTAGCTGTGACAGAGACCACATGGCCTATGAAGCCAAAAATATTTAGCATCTGGTCCTCTACAGAAAAAGTTTGCTGATGGATTAGAATCATCAGATGCCGGCAGATACCACCACAGTTCCTGCCTATGACTCCTTTTGGTGATGAAGGTTTTGCTCCTGTGGAACTGCTGCTAAGCCCACTTTTTACACCTCACCTCTATGGTCTCAAGCCCCCAAAATCTTCTTTCACTCTTCCTTGAACTTTTTTCATTCTAGCTTGCCTTTCAAAACACAGCCAAAGCTCCACCTCTCCATGAGGCCAGCTGCATCCATCCCCTAAACCCCTTGGTTCCCCTCTTCTGGCCTCCCTCTCTGCATCTACCACAGAAAGCTACAGTGAGATTTCCCTTTTCCTATGCACCCCTTCAGCCTGTGCTACAGGCTTCTCCAGGTCCAGGGCTGGTAACCTCCACAGAGAACCTGCCAGTGATAACTACCTTGCCTTTCATTTCAAATATCAATCCTCAATAGCATAATTTGGTAAGAAGGTATCAAACAAACTTACCAATGAAGGTCCAGGATTCCACATTGGAAAAGTTAAGCTTGGGTCCAAACGTATGCACTCTAGCCAGCACCACCTAAAAGCCAATGAAATAAAAATTTAGCTTTAAATTAATAGCACCCAGTAAGTTTTGATTTACCATCCTCCTGGGATGTCCATTTCTGCTTCTTTGCCTAGAAAATCCCTGCTTGTCCTTCAAATCCATTGGACAGTTTTTCCCTGTAAGCCTCCACAGTGTCCCAGGCGGGCCAGGCATCCCCTCCTCTCAGCACCCATGGAACTCTGGTAGCATGCCTATGATAACACATGGCATGTCGTGGCATAACTTCCTGTTTAGGAAGGAGAGCGGGGTTTCTCTAGACTATAGGCTTTTCAAGAGAAGAGACCTGTAAATTTACCCCATCCCATACCTCAAATGCCTAGAACACTATGGGCACTTAGATGGTCTTCAATAAATACTTGTAAAATAGACAGAAAAATAACCTACTCAATTCATTAACACATGCTGGGGTATCTAAAATTCTGCTGGGCTGGAATTTTCACCATAAAAATGAATGCCCCAACCCCACTGCATTTAATAGGCAACAGTTTAACAGGAAGGACTCATGAAATTAATCTAAATATACACCTTTGGAATGACACTCCCCTGGGCAGAAACCATCAGAGGCTCCCAGAAACTAAGAAGGCAGGCTCAACTTCGCAGCCCAGGATGCTGGGCCTGTACCAACTGGCCCCGCCTGACTCTGCAGTCTCAGCTTGCACGGTTTCCCCGACAGACCCTACCATCCAGACAAACAGGACTGATGGTCCTCAAACACCCCCTCTCTCAGCCAGATGTCTTCCTCCACTTTCCTCCACATTATCTCCATCTACTGAGGTGGCGTCCATTTCAAACATCACATCCCAGACCAAGTTCATGACAGGGCCCCAAAAAAGTGCTTTGTTGGTTTTTTTCCCTCCAGTTTAATTGTGAGAAAATAAATACATGTCACATAAAATTTACAGTCTTAACCATTTTTAAGTGTCCAGTTCAATGGTATTAAGTACATTCATGTTGTTGTTCAGCCACCACCACCATCCATCTCCAGAACTCTTTTCATCTGCAGAAATGAAACTCCATACCCACTAGATAACAACCGTCTCTTCCCTCCTTCCCACAACTCCTAGCACCCAATAAGATTTTGTCAAATGAATGAGTACATAAATGAATGACGATATGAATGAATCTGACTCAATCCTCCCCACGAAAGCCACAAGGACTGTTTCCTTCTGCTGGATTCCTATGGTATTATCTTCACATCTTTCTCAGATTGATTTCAATCTATCTTAAATGATCCTTTTTTGCACAATTATATTCTCCTTCTGGGAAGGAACTGTGACTTGTTTGCAAAGTTAAGCTTAGGTCCAACAGCATGCCCTTAGTCTGTCCTGCATGTTGCTAGATCCATTGGTCAGGTCTCCATCCTCACCTTGCAGTTCCGACACCAGTTCTCTCCAGCTCTTCTGGTTTTCCGCCCACCTCACTGGCTGCTCCTTCTCTTTGCTTATTTCCCCTTATCTCTATCTCCTGCCTCTTATGTCAGAGTGTTCAGTCCTTGTTTTCATCTCATTTCTGTCACTCCCTTGGTAATCTCGACTAGTCTCCTGGATTCACATGTATCACCTCTATGCTGATGATAGCCAGATTTCTCTCTAAGCCTGGACCCTTCCTCTAAACTCCTGACCAGTATATCCAACTGCTTGTGTCAAGTTAAGAAGTAGATGGGAGCTTTGTGTAAGACACAGTGGGTGTCTCAAACTTAAACATGTCCAACACAGACCCCTGACCTCCCCCTGACCTACTCCTTCCAGATTCATACCTGCCTCAGTTTAAGACAATGTTCTTCCAGCTGCCCACACCAAAAATCTGGAGTCATTTTCGTCTCATTTCTCTCACTCCATATCTAATCCTCACTAAAACTGATTCTTACCTTCAAAATGTATTCAGAATGCGACCATTTCTCACCACCTCCACCGTCACCATCCTAGATTGCTGTGACAGCCTCCTAATTGGTGCCCTGCTTCCCTGCTGCTACCCTTGTAGTCACTCTACCTCCACCCATAGTCTATTCTGAACAGAGGAAGAAATCTGGTGCAACATGAATCAGATTCTGTCATTTCTTTCCTTAAATCCCTTAAAAGCCTTCCCTGCAAGGACGATGCCAAAAGGACGAACGTGCTTACAGCAGACTCTCAGGCCTTGGGGCAAGCTGGGGGCAGGAGAGTCTCCAAGCTAGTGTCCCCCTCTCTCCCACCTATTTCTCCACTGGCAGTCCTGACTGTATCACCTATTATCCGATTTCTCAAAAAGGAAGCTCTTTAAAGGGAGGGAAAAGCAATCAATCAGCTTCCTTTTCCAGCTGGATACAAGAAGCCAACAACACTCACACTTCTGAAGAAGCAATACGGTATGCCAACACTTAATAACATTTCCAAAGATAAGGCCGGCCTTCCAGAGGCTCATTCTTTATGCCCTTGGTGGCAGTAGGGAATCTTCCATAAGACCCCCTTCTCCCTGCCACCAGCTGGCTGCCAAGTCTTGCCTGCCCAGCATCTCTTAAGACTCTATCCCTGTCCTCCACCTCACTGATGCTGTGGCTGGATATGAAGTACAAGTAAAGTGAGTCAGGACTCTAAGCTAGCTCAGGCCTCATCAGTGCTCCTTGGAGCTACAGTAGTGGCCTCCTAATCAGTCTCGACACCTCTTGTCACTCACTTGGAACCTCAACCCCATAGTGTCCAGAATGATTTTATTAAACCTAACTTTGACCAAGGCCCCTGCTTAAACCTCTATGAAGAGCTCCTGCACTGCCATACTATATATTTTTCAAAATCTATTAGAGTAAACTGTGGTAAACAGTCTTTTTTATCTTCCCCAGATGCATTTTGTCTGCCTGCTCCTTTAAAAGACTCTGGTTGCCCCACAGGGGTGCAGACGATCCGACCCAGATTAGAATTCTACTCCCTTGCAACAGTGACAGGTCCAAAGGCAGGCACATTACCAAGCGGGCCACTCACAGCCTTTCCCTCAAACTGATATCCAGATGTAGAGAAAGGCTCTCCCCCTTCGCTGGGATTGTAAACTGGGGCTGCTGGCAGCTGTGCCCCCTCAGGCAGGGCAGCCTGTCTGCAGTAGAGAAGTCTGATGCCAACACACAAAGAACAGAAGGCAAGGAGCCAACTGGACCGCTGGCAGCATCAACTCGCATTCCAGAACCTCTTCCTTTTGCGCACTCCTACAGCATCTTTCCCAGTCATGGAACCAGTAACTACCCATTTATGCCTCAGCTAGCTGGACTCCCAACAGGCCCATCATGCCGTTTTCTGTATCTGTGCTTTTTCCCACATTGTTTCCTCTGCCCAGAATGCACACTCCCTGGATTTTTACCCAGCAGCCAGACTTCCTCTGTGGAGTCTTCCCTGAAGGGAAGCGCAGTTAGTCCTATCTTCCAGATCTGCTCTAAAATGCCTAGAATACACCCCTCTGCCATGCTTAGACCCCTCCCTCTGTCTCCACAATCTCGGAGCTAGCTAGCTGCTCAAGCTAGAAACCGTAGACCAACCTGCTCTCCTTGCACTTCCTCATTGTCCTCATGGACCTTTCTGTCCTTCCTTTCTGCTGTGGTCCTATTGTCATGGCCAGGACCTCAAGACCTACTGCTTGGACACAGCCACCTGGACTCTCACCACTCCCCCTCTTCCCATCCGCCTCCCGCTGCTGTCAGGGTTGAGCCTCCATGGCCCTTCTGCACCTACAGTACGGAGCCCTTGCATCTAAACTAGCCCTGACCTATATGCTCCAATTTCCCCCAACCACTTCCACTCTCAACAGGATGGAGCAGGTGCACTTTCTCTGAATCTACCTGCTAAGAACAATGAAAACCCCTCGGCACTCTATGCTAGATGACTATAAGAAGACTCCAAAGGGCAGATTGAAGAAGGTAGATTAGCTAGGGACCTCAGGACCCAAGAAACAATGCAGTGGTGAGCTTCCTGCATTTCCTTTTCTGCATATAGCTCAGACTTGGAACTAAGGAGACCAGCAACCCAAAAACGCCAAGGAGCACAAAGAGAAAATGCCCCAACAAATCTCCCTCTATCAAGACAGAAAACTTGGAGATAATGACCACTCTATTTCAGCCAAACACCACACACAAGAAAACCCACAGTCCTACTCACAACCATACCAGCAAAGTGCAAGTGGCATCTACGACAAACCCACTGCTGACCTTACACTTAATGGTGAAAGGCTGATGCTTGTCCCCAAGGCTAGGAACAAGGCAAGGATGTGCACTCTCACGGCTTTTGTTCACCATAGGACTAGCAGTCCCAGCCACCACAATCATGCAACAAAAGGAAGTAAAAAACATACAGATTGGAAAAGATGAAATGAAACAACCCTGTTTGCAGGTGACATGAGTGTCTATGCAGCAAATCCTGAGGAATAAACGAACGAACAAAACAATTCTAGGACTAATGAGTGAGGTTAGCAAACGTGCAGGATACAAGATAAAATACAAAAATCAATTGGATTTCTATATACTAGCAATAAACACATGGATACCAAAATTAAAAAGACAACCGCATTCGCAATCACTGTAATTCGCAATCATTGTAAAATGGATGGAAAAATAACCTGCTCAATTCATTCACACATGCTGGGATATCTAAAATTCTGCTGGGCTGGCATTTTCACCATAAAAATGAAGGCCTCAACCCCATTGCTTTTAATAGGCAACGGTTTAAAGAAAAAAAAGAAATAACTATAATTTCTCTCAACTAACCATTGTATGGCTTAGCCACTTGAGGTCCTGTGTCATGAAAACAGGGATGATATACTGTTTTGCTCTTCAATTAAATAAAATACCTAGCGGGGACCCAGCATCTAGTAGGTGTGCACTATTTGTTTTCACAGCTCATTCCCTGCCATCTTCCCAATGAACTTTCTTCCCCATATGCTCCTAGTGAGATCATGGTCTATTAAAAAGTCCCATCTCTAGTTTCAGCCTTGGCAGGTCATGATTGCCAAGGAAGTAC